GAGTCGTGATGGGTTTTGGCACAGTATTTGCGACTGGTGAATACCTAATATAACCTAAATGACAACATGTGAAGAATATGTTATCTCTTTAGTAGAATACTAGTATCTACCATATTACTTTACGGTTTTAAAGAAAAATCTATGACAATCAAAAATGTACACTTAAGTGCTTTAGACACTAACAATATAATAACTTAAACAATATTATTGTTTTCTGTGTTTATTGAATGGGCTTAGGTTATAAAAATCTAAGCATATTTAAAATTTAAAAAAAACGAATATTTTAATAGAACAATAAAAAAGTTTTATTTATTGTTCATTCAGTATGCAATTAATGTACAACCAAGGAAACTTTAACAAAATAGTGTAATTCAGAGTAGAATTAAAAAGAAAAAGTAGAGAAAATATATTTTCTTTTCTTTTATGTTAAAAGAGGACATACCTACCAGCTTTGGATATTAATTAATTTACGCTCCTAGTTTAACTTAGGCAAAATAAATACAGTTTTTGGTAACTGTTGTCGTCGATAAAGGCACTTACGCGTTGACAACTTTGATTCAATTTGAAATCTCTTCCGTGTGCAGGATTTGCATGTACAAAACCAGTTAACTCGAAATAATTGTAAAAAAATAACTCTCTCTTCCGCAAAATCTTAAAGCACTGATGTAATCTTTGCATGTTTCTTATGACCACGCTTTTGAATGTTAAAACTGTTTACGAGTCAAATACTCTTAGTTGTAAACAGCAGCAAGTTCTCGTTTTGAATTCCGCGAATACTATAGTTTCGGCTGCATAGTACATAAAAAAGACTCACCCAGTTTCTGCAAATGCCGACTGCGATGGAAACAGATGGCGTGAGCGCAGCAGATTTGTATTTGACATTAGGGACACCCTCCATCTTTGGCCCCCCGTGACGACGGCTATGGCCAATCATCTAAAAGTTAGATCTTAGTTAAAATAAATTATAAGTGAGTTTAGTAATATTATTAGCGTTGGAACCATTCAAAAGTTTTTCTTTAAAAGGACACAGACATCGAAGTATCTCGTTCAAATATTTAAAGATTTGCACGGTTATATCTAACACTAGCTGTGCCAGCGAAAATAACCTTCGGCCGCGCAGAATAGTTATTTTGGGCACCCAAGTTTGTTTTTAAGCCACCTCTTCATGTTTATAAATTTAAACTGCTATCCGACAACGACATCGGACGCGTCGCGTCGCATGTGACCCATCCTTCGGATCCTTCTTGCAAGTTCATCTTTAAAGATAGACATATAGTGTTGCAGACTTTTTTTTAGATTATTCAAAAAAGAATTATTATTTGATACATATTTTTGGGCATCTTGAACCGTTTTCGCAGCGTACGCATCGGAAGCCCACAGATATGAAAAATTCTCCCGTTTCCTTTACATTTCCTGCTGCTTCTTCGCTCCCATTAATCACAGCCTATCGCCTTCCTCGATAAATGCTCTAACTAACACAAAAATAATTTTTCAATACGAACCAGTAGTTCCTGAGATTAGCGTTTATCACGCTCAAACAAACAAACAAACTTGAAATTCACGTTGGGCTCTATATTAATTATTAGAAGATCCAGTATCAAATATTAGTAGCAATATTGTATGTTAAATAACTTAAAAAATATATTAAGTTGGCTATAACGAGGATACCTGATATTATAAAACTAATAAGTTTGCTGGTTCAAGAATTATTTGTTAGAGTACAATTCTTACATAACAAGTATTATTATAAGTATAAATAGTATCAATATTATAATATTGATTTTGTAATCGACAAAACAACGTTTGCGTCAAGTAGTGAAGTATAAGAGAGTTAAGTTTCAAACTGACGTTTAGTTAGTAATGAAAGAAAGTTAGTGAGTTCTCGCAAAGGTCATAGGCAGGATGTATCGCTGACAGAATGCTAAGCGCGACTCACTTCACTACGGAACCACTTTCGATTTAATAAGGACAGTGAAAGGACAATTTTCAAAGTCTCCGAGGAGAATAAACGCATCGAATTATTGTTACTAACCGATTGTGCTAAAAAGGTATTTAATGTGGTAATTGCTTTTTTAAGGTTAAATGTTTTTTTTTTTAATGATTAATGGGGACAAACGAGCCTAGGGGTCACTTGATGGTACGTGAAATACCCCAGCCTATAGTATCTAAACCAGATGTACTGTCGACCAATTTTGGCTTTGGATATTCGGAAATCCACAGACTGACCGAACGTATTAAACTTAAAATTTAATCTGGTTTAAACGGTGGTTTGTGACCGGGATGGAATTTAGATATTTCTACCACCCATCTAATATCCAGATTTCCAGACAAATTAATATTTCAGAAAAATTATAAATTGAAATAAATAGTTTGGGAATATCTTTAAGCCTTGTTTTTATTAACACTATACTAATATATAAAGCTGAAGATTTTGTATGTTTGAACTCGTTAACCTCAGGAACTACGGGTTCGAATTGACACATTATTTCTGTGTTAATTAGAACATTTATCAAGGAAGGCTATACATAAGGTAAAACATTGCTCTGTGACTAAAGATACAAGCGAAAATACAGCGGGAAATGTGAAAAAAATGGGAAAATTATTCATCGTTACGTGTTACCGAGGCGTACACTGCAAAAACGGTTCAAAAAATATGTATTACAAAGGGATTCATCTTTAAATGATCTAAAAAAAATTCCGCAACGCTATACGTCTATCTTTTAAGATTAAGTTGTAAGAACGGCTTAATTTTATAAAGATAAAGGAAGGGGTCTGTAAAAACGAATTTGGATGCCCAATAAAATTTTCTTAGCAGACAAAGTCACTGGCACAGCTAGTATATGTATACATTCAAGATATATGTCTCAATCGATACAAAAAATAAAGGAACTGTATAATTTACATAAAACACGTTTCACGCGAAATGTATATTTTTAATTTATCCTAATTACGTCTCGACGTTCGATTCATGATGCAATTAGTCAAAGTCAAAACTTCTACACTAGCCACGCCATCCGTTTCGTCATAAATATACAGCCAGGGCAGTAATCGATTTTTTTTCCAAATCGGTATAGATAATTATAAAAAATTCAGTTATAAAACAATTTAAAATTTTACTAATGAGTTTCGTTATAAATAGACGAAGGACTTTTCTAAATATAATAACATCTTCTCAATTATACGATGTCTATTTATGAATGCGTTTTACCTGTGCTCCCACACATTAAATAGAATGCCTAAGCCAGGAAATGAATGCTTAAAGGTTACGCATGGACTAGCTCTGTAATCAAATACCCATTTTATTTACTCCTTAGTTAAATTTTGTTATTACACAAGGAAGAATGAGTAATATTTTTTAGGATATTGTTAAGATAGAAATAACTGATTGAGTTGAGTCTCATAGATGTTTAATTTAGAATGTTAGTAGTGCATATTAAATTAACGGTTTAAAACGAGAAATATACCAGTATTAGTTACATTATTTTAACTATGATTAAATGATACGAAATTTTAGTACCGACTATCACAATAAATTAGTTAACTAATATATTTTGCGTTTTTAACCGTTAAAAAAGCCTTTTGATAGAACTAAAATTAACGTCGAAGCCTAATCCATTAACTTTATCAATTACGAGTCACGTTCGCCTTTCACTGAATCAACAAATCCGATTTCTAGTTGTTTGCTTGAGCTAATCAAAGTTTCGTATCAATTGTGGCGGAAATGAGGAAAATTTGCGAGACAAATCGTGTACAATAAGAGCCGATGCAGTCATTACGAGTGATCTCTTTTACAACCATGGAAATTATTCATGTTACAAATATTAACAAAAGTATAATGTGTTTAAAATTGGTATTTTCTCAGGTATATAAATATTTATACGCCATTTTCAAAACTCTTGTAAAGTTTGATTCGATAGCTTTTAGCGTATGTAAATTGAGTGGTTTTAAAAGTATAATAAGCAAGGACTTCATGTATGGTTTAGTACTCCACAGTTTTATGACATAATTATAAGTAAAGCCCATTTGATCTCTATTTGTAACCTATGGTTTCTTGTTATAGCTTTGCATGCTGTTCTTTTTAATTGTAATTGAGGTTTTGTTGAGGAGGGCTGCTGTAAAACCGAATAAATAATAAAAAATAACGATGCTCTGTTGGCTTTTTTTGGCTTTGGACATTTATTCTATATACTTTTACAAGGCCGGTGGTTTGTGATCCGGACGGAATCTCTACTTACCGACCTATTTATAATTCGGATTTTACAAACTCTAACAGCAAACCCGCCGAAGCCGAAAATTGCCATTGGATAACGAGCCACATAAACAATAATTATAGAGGTATGAACAATCTTAAAACGACAAAAAATTATCAGACTTTCAAACTGGTTAAAATATGAAAATTGCACAGCCGTTACATTTGCATGTAAGCGTCATTAAAATTGCTCAATTTCCCATTACACTTATTTTTAACCATTCGGTTGGCGTGTATACGTAATTTAAAATAATAAAAACTTGGTAAATAATAGTTCTAATATTATACTATTCTGATTTACATTATATTTGTTAGTAAAAACTTACTCGAATGCAGGATGGCTTTCGCTCGCTGGGCGGGAATCGAAAAGACGCGTGTTAGTGACCTTTTCTGACATTCAATTGCTTTGAAACAGCTAGTATTTATAGAATCCTAATTATGTAAAATTGTTAGATAGAATTTGCTTAAGTATTTTTTTCAGAACGCATATTTTAAGTAAATTATTTATTATATCAATTTGTATTTACGCATACTCGTAGCTTCAAACATAGCTAATCTCATAGGTATGAGAGTTTTAATCGACTAGTTACTTAAACAATATTATTCAGTGAGACATTTTTAATTTAGGGGTTTAGGCATAAACTACTGGTTAAAAATACCACAAACGTTATTCAATACGTTTGATTTATAATATATAATAGCACTTTAATGCGAATAATTAATAGTTATAATTGTTATTTTATTGTTTCAGAAAGTAGAAAACTGTTCGGTGGCTACAGAATAACGCCGTCCTACTGCAAGGCAAGCCGCGCAGCAAGATACAATAAGGGAAGCACGATATGTATGTTTAACCACGAATGCGTCAAACGAGGTGGTGAGGTAGTAGGTTCTTGTATGGATGGATTCCTCTTTGGTGCGTGCTGTCAACTAAAATCAGACAGCCAGTCACATATACCAAAAGGCCCAGGTGTCGTCATGACCAGCTATCTGGATTACCCAGATCCAGAATCCGAGACCGACGACTACGACGGAGAACAACTCAGCGCTTGGCATAACAGCTTCAAGCCAGTCGTGACTCCAGGGTACCGACCCAACGTCGCCACATCCACTATGAAAGCCGAGCAAGACCTAAGTACAGAAGCACAGATCATATCCGATGGATTAAGTCAAATCACAAATACATTGTTGAGCACACCGCCCAAAGACAACATAGTTTATATAAAACCTAAACCGGAAAATATCTACTCACACAGCACTATTGACCACACTGTCGCTGATACCATACTTTTCCACAAGAACGGTTCTCAAGTAGACGATATCGCTAGACCCTCGGATTTCAATATACAAATTTCATCTATGCAAACGAAACCCACAAAACCACCGGTTTCCACTTCACCATCATCTCCATCTATCATCGTGTCGACACACCGACCGATATTTAAACCAGTTTTCAAACCTAAGCCGAACAAGACGAGCACAACGGAAAACTACGTCCAAGTCTCCACAGTAACAAAGGAAACTGAAAAATCGCCCGAATTAGTCTCTATAGATAGTATTATTCAGATGCTAAACGAAAGTACTCCCAGTATGAAGGAAGATGTCAGTTCACCATCAACACTAGAAGTAATGGAAACTAAATCATCACCCACCACAGCCTCTCCCGTGTCATATAGCAGTGGTTACCCAAATCACTATTTATCTACAGGGCACTATGTGACAATAAAACCCTCATCCCTAAAACCTTATTCAACTACGTCCAGTTATTCTAAAAAGCCCTTCACTAAAAAGCCGTCTTATACGACGCCAAACAGCATACCGCATGAGGAAAGACCCTCAAGTAAACCATCTTATAAGCCAAGTCAATCAACTAGTGAAGCTATTGAAGCATTTAATAAATATCCCACCGATCCAAATGAATTTGGGCAGACAGTTACAACATTCAGCTACGTAAGTTCAACGACGACTACAACAAAACGCCCAACAACATCTAGAAAACCTCCTTCCACCAGCTACGTCACTGGTTCGAAGCCTCTGAGAAGACCAATCACGCCATCTCCAAATGAAATAGAGCCGTTTGACAATATCGATAATTTCTCTAGCGCGACGCCAACAGTTATCGTTCTAAACAACATAACCCCGAAACCGGAAACAACATCGCAGGAGACGCAATTCGTCGAAATATCGCAGGAACCTTTTAAGAAACCGGTCAGTCAGATCACTGTTAATAACCATATTGAGTCCACTAATAACATATTCGTCGGCAAGCCAGTATACGACAAGCCCTCATCACCCACCATCGTTATAACGCCTAAACCATCACCGACCACCACACCCATCCCAATCAGAGCCGGCACCAAACCGAATCCATCAACACCGAACTACGAGTTCTACGCTGAAACGACAACATATAAAATAGAACAACAGACGTCGCCAGACGACCTGATCAATTTCCCACCTGTAAGAAATCCGATGCTTAACGCGACCGGATCGAACCCGTCGGTGTTTAATACTAGCATATCTATGATTGACAATGAATTGGATATAGACGTCGACTTCTCGACTCCGTCGTGGCAGGAAGACGAGAAACTCAATGAAAAAATGAATCTGTTCGTGAATAAAATTGTAGGTAGCTTGCAAGGTACGTTCCAGGAGCTTCACGATATTGTTATACTGGATAAAAAGCCGAATATAACGAGGACAACAAAACCTCCCAGGCGGACGACTACCCGGAAACCGACGACCAAAAAGCCAGTCAGAGTGACAACAACTAGGCGACCGCCCGTTAGGACAACTAAGAGGCCAGTGAGGTTAACGACCGCGGCTAGAAGACCAACAACAACCACGCCTCTACCAACGACAACTCAGACTACCACCACAACTACCACCACGAAAAAACCGGTAAGGCTTTTTTCAATATAGATGATTAATTTTACTAATTGTCTATTAAACGGTAAGAAGAATGATTAAAAAAAACTCAAACTCAGTATAGTATAATCTGTAAACGTAAATTTAATATGATTTAAAGTAGATATGATAAAATATTAAATAACATATTTTTATATGTATCTGGTTGTAAAAACAAACCATAGTTAGGAGCTATTTAGTCCTCGGCCTGTTATATCTTTGTTTCCAGGTCACGACAACCAAAAAGCCACGTCCTACGAAAAGGGTGACCACGACCACACCTCTAACTACCACGGTCACCGAAGCCAGCGAGGACGTGACCACGGAGCTCTACTCTGACCAGAGTATCGACTATAATGATCGAAATTGTAAGTATATAGACTGGAACCGAATCGTGTTTAAACATTACTACTTTTTTGTTCCGAATGTGGTGAGGATCCAGCCGAAAATTTCGATTCGATCAATCATATTTTAATATCCACATTACCGGACGAAGGTCAACATGTTTCAGAAAAATTATAAATTGATTAGCAACATAAAAAAAAAAAAAAAAAAAAAAAAAAAAAAAAAAAAAAAAAAACAACCCCCCCCCCCCCCCCGGGGGGGGGGCCCCCCCCCCCCCCCCCCCCCCCAAAAACCCCAAAACCCGGCGGGCCGAAAAAAAAAACCTTTTCCAAAAAAGTTTAACTAAAATATCGCGTTTTAAACCGTTGAAGTGTTTTATTTAAATGATTAGCAACATGTCGAACCGGTGGGAATCGAATTCATGACCTGTTGATAATTTACCCATATGTTAATAATTTACCCATATGTAGCTTAATAGTTATGCTAATGCATTAGGCCATCGTCACCTAGCTTTACTATTGCAAACTTTACCAAAAACAAGCGTTTTGAACTATTATAGTATGATAAAGAAATAAATTTTGCAAAAACTTTGCCAAATTGAAGGCACGCTAACTGATATTGCAATTTTGCGAAAAATTTTGTATAAGGCGCCATTTTTATTGCATTGAATGTTTATAATAAATGTAATTGCCATCGCCACATACTGAAAAGTTATATAGATTTTTATTATTTGGTACTTCTTTACTAATACTTAATTATTTTCCTCTCACAATTTCCAGTATGTGGAGTCAGACCTCTAATGAAATCAGGACGAATTGTTGGTGGAAAGAACGCTCGATTTGGCGAATGGCCATGGCAGGTTCTGGTCAGAGAGTCAACTTGGCTTGGCCTCTTCACGAAGAACAAGTGTGGAGGAGTGCTGATCACTAGCCGATTTGTCACCACCGCCGCGCATTGTCAACCTGGGTAAAATGTCGTCCATTAATTATGTTCCACAACAGGGCACATGTCTCCACATAAGTTATAAAGGAGATAGATCTACCACGCTAGTCCAGTGTGGGTTAGTGGGATTTAACGAGTACCACTACTAAATTACCTTTTTGCCTCTTCTTCATCACACATAGACCAAGTATTAAAGAAAGTGTGACTAAATGTAAGAGTGCAATAAATTCTATAGTTTCCTTGGTTACATAGAATTAAGCCATTTATACTGTAGAGAATTTAATACAAATAGACTAAATATTATAAGCATAAAAAGGGACATACTAGCATAAGTTAATAACAGGAAAATTCTTTGCTTATGCGTCGTTGTTGTGGTGTTGGGAGAAATCATTTAGTGTGTACATCCTAAGTACAGTAAGTAAACTAAGATCAATAATGCTGCCTCCGTAAAAAGCTAACGTTAAAAATCGATTGAACTCAATTGCAAAACATTTTCAATGAGGCAGGACTTGAGACTAGGCATCACACGTTTTTCATGTTTTGTTCTGCATCATGTAGCTATGACATGTGAAAAATAGGTCCTCCTCCCAGCTACTTGCCCATCAAAAATCGTTCAGAAAAAAGCCACACAAGCGCGTTCGCCCCAAGTCCCAGAAAAGGAAGTCGGTTTTTATTGAATTCTTTGAATTTCAGTTTCCTCGCCTCCCTGGTAGCCGTGTTTGGCGAGAATGACATATCGGGCGACGTAGAGCCTCGCAGACCAGTCGCGAAGAATGTGAGGCGTGTGATAGTTCACAGGCAGTACGACGCAGCTACCTTTGAGAATGACCTCGCTTTGCTGGAATTGGATTCTCCTGTTAAATTCGATGCTCATATTGGTAATTATCGTAGTAGCTATGTTTGCAACATGGGTTCGCTTGATGGAAGGGGAGATATAGCCATATAAATTTAAACAAGATATGCGATCTAGGTGGAGTTTTATTGCCTTTAGACATTAAAAACAACCATGATTAAAAACTAAAGAGGTTTAACTTCAGGCTTTTTCATCTTTACGAATTTTTCAGACCATGTCGAAATTTAGAAATTTATTTATTGTGAATTAAACCCACAATCCATTAAACATAAATCATATGTAATTAGTATTAGAAATTTTTTATAGTCTATATTAGAAAGATTTATAGTCTGGTGACCCTATTCTTTTTGTTGAATAGATAAATATTTCTTTTTCAGTACCCATCTGCATGCCACCAGATGAGGCAGACTTCACAGGTCGGGTGGCCACGGTGACAGGTTGGGGTCGCCTCAAATATGGTGGTGGAGTACCAGCCGTTCTACAGGAAGTACAGGTGCCCGTGATAGAGAACAGCGCCTGCCAAGAGATGTTCCACACAGCTGGACACGCTAAGAAGATCCTTAGCTCGTTCATTTGCGCGGGATACGCGAATGGACAGAAGGATTCGTGTGAGGTAAGTCCAATTTTATTAAACATCTAGATGCTCGTTTGTTTTAAATGTTGTAGTTGATATTTTTTTTATAAAAAACTTTAACAGTTTAAACGCGAAATATATTAGTTAATCTTATAATAAAATTAAGGTACGGCCCTAATTTTCTAAATTATTTTAACTGATGGTGCTAGCGTAGCAGTTTTTGCTTTCACATTAGTGACAACCTCCATCATTAGTCCCCCCGTGACAAGCATCCAAAACGTCGGGACGTAGTTAAAATAATCTTCAAATAAATTGAACTATTTATTTATCGCGTTTTAAACGGTTAAAATGTTATATTTAAAATTGTACTACTCGCGTGAACTACAGACAGTATTTCATTTTATATTTATATTCATTTAAGGCTGTTGTACTATACATTTAAAATATATTAAAGTGTTAACATTTGACAGGGAGACAGTGGTGGTCCTCTTGTCCTCCAACGCGACGACGGCCGCTGGCAGCTCGTGGGGACAGTCTCCCACGGGATTAAGTGCGCTGCTCCCTTCCTTCCCGGTGTCTACATGAGAACTACCTTTTACAAACCATGGCTTAAAAGCATCACTGGAGTCAAATAGAACTAAACCCTATTACTAATAACTTTTCGAACTATTTTGCTGTACCCGTAAAAAACTGGGGTTTTCATTACGTCAGCAAAAATACTATGCAAAAGTAAGAATTGTTTCTCCATTCTGACTGATTAAGACTATATTTTTGTCTCAACCAATCAGAATGAAGGAAAACGGTCCAGCGTGTTGCGTTTTCGCTATTCCTTACCATGATCTGTCTTTTAGCAAACATAAACCATGATTATAATACTAGTGTTTAAATTTCTTTGACTGATTGCTTTTTGAATATAAAAAAAAATTACTCACTGTGAGATACAATTTGAGAAGCTATAACTCAGTATTATTATTCAATCTTGTATTTATTTCGTATGTTAAACAAATTTAGAAATGTTATACCTTAAAAACTCAAGTATTTTTATATAATGCATTATATAAATTAAAATACTATTTAGATTTTTAAAAAAATCATCACGGTAGCTCAATTGGTTAGAGCACGGAACGTTGTGGACGCCGGTTCAATCCCGCCCCTGTCGTAATTTTTTTAGTCACAATAGATTTTTAATTTCTATGATGTTTCTTCTCCCACCCCCACTGATTATGAACTATTGTTTTGTAATACTAGCATTCTACTAACGATTTAGACATAATAAAAAAGTAGTCAAAATTCGCTGTGAAATAAGATCACATCGCAAATGTTAAAACATATACCATGTCCTGGAATATACTTGTATATTAATATAGCTCTCTACTTCATAATATGTTATGAATTAGCGAAGTAATTATTAAATAGTCTAATTTTTTCCTAAAATTTCTACTCGAAATGTTAAAAATTAATTTTGATTTTTCCTTCCCTGACGCATTTATTATGTAAAAATCTGTAGGCAAATTATGTATTAAGTAATGTATTAATTTATTTTAGCTGTTAAGAATTTGCTCAATAAAGCAATATTTGAGGTCAGATTAGATTTGATTGTATTTAAGTGACTGTTATTGCATTTAATAAATGTTTAAGAAGTTGAAGCTGCTTGTTTCAAGTAAACCCCGTGCTTGTCTGTACTCTATTATAATAATTAATTTATACATAACCAATGTTCTGAAAAGACCAACTCAAAGTGGTTTTTATGATATACCGAGAAATCCTATCCTTCTAGTCGTTCTTGAATAAAACAACAGATGGCGTGCCTCATAATATATTTCAACGATTATAACATCTAATTCTACGATTTAATATAGCTAACATATTTTTTATTCATTTAAACATTATTAACAATTTATTGAATTTGCACAGCAGTATTCTATGATTTTATTAAAACTATGAGCTAAAGGATAAAATACAGTATGTTTAAATTTAATATAGATTTTGCGCTATGCTACCTACGTATTATTACAACTCTAATAAATAAAATATAAATAAATAATCAGTTTATCTATTTATATTTTATTAGTTTACTATGACATATATTTAACTAAGAAGAGATAAGTAGAAAGACTATTGTGCCCTGTAATACTGATTAACTAAACTTGGTATTACCAAAATCTCAGTTGATACAAAACATAATTATATATTTAAAACATGCGCCCTGCACTTTATCAAAGAACTGAATTTATACGCGTAAAGCTAAATACTGTCTGTAGTTTACGAGAGCAGTAGACGTTTAAATGAAACATTTTAACGGTTTGAAACGGTCCGACGTTACGAATTCTTCGCAGCAGCCGATCACGGCTGAGGGGAGGCGAAGCGTAGTTAAAATAAATTCTGAATGTGTTCAACTAGTTCATTTTGCGATTTAAAAATATATATTAAAATCGTAACTGACCATATATATTAATTTCAATTAAGTCCATAAATCTGAATTTAATGATACAGCTAGCCTTTAATGAATAACCAAAGTTAATAAATTTAAATAAAAAACTTTAACACGCGACTTTGTCGCGTAGATTACAGTTAAAGCTCTCTATATTATATTTCGCGTTTTATCGTTGATGTGCTCTATTTAAACGCGTATAACTCACGGTAACTACGGACGATACGTAACTACAAAATAATTATGCACCAAAATCAAAATAGCTCTTAAAGTTAAATTGTATAACATAAAAAATTACGATAAATCTATTCAACAATATAATTGTAGAGAGTACAACTTTCCTTAAAAACTTTAAAAGCATTTTTTTTAAGTATTTGATTGGTTGGATTTAATTTTTACTCACCCTACCTTTGTAATGCAAGCATTTTCTACATATGGCGTCAGCTTTATCTTTGATGCTAGCCAGCGCTCTCTCAGACTCTGGCTTCGCGTCTTCCACCTCACTGAACTGTTGGATTAGCTTCTTAATATAACTTCCAGGTCCCTTTATAGTCAGTTTATCATCCGGACCTGCTTGAACATCCTGAACGTTGCCGAATTCGGGGCTGCCTATATTGAGTTTCTCGTCGACAGCGCTAAAATGTATTTTCTCATCTATAAACTTTTTGGTACCAGTTGGTGTTATGATCACTTCGTTATTTTTGAGGTTGACTGTTATCTTCGCGTCTTCGAAGTCGAGTTCCGAGAGAGATATATCCACGGACCTGGAACGGATCTGTCTGGATGGCGTAGCGGGAACGTGTAGTTGGTTGGTGTCTGAGTTTTCCTGCTTGATCGCGCTGCTCGATGTGACTGGGGAGGTCGATAGGGACTTTTCACCGGGGCTCGATCCTGTACATTTTAATAGAACTTTAACGAAACATATAGTGTAAACTTGATTCATAAGTCATTGATAAATCTTACGACCCACCACCTAAATTTATAGATCTGTTTACCTCAGTAGTTAGCTTCGATGTATTCAGTTTTTCGTCCTAAAATCAATCAGACATCATAAGTGCTAAATTGAACATATATATGTACATATTTTAACCTGCCCGATGTTTACAATAAGTATTACATACGATGATATATTTTATTTCTCTGACTCCATTTTCCACCGTAGAATTGGTGTTAATGTCAAATAGAAGCGACTATAGCCCCGAGCCAATGAAGAAGATGTTTGTGTTTTTAGAATATAAGAAAAAAATTAAAGCAAGTAGCCCAATCACCGACCATTAGAAGCATCTTCTCTCTCCTCCTCGGAGCAAAGAGGCAAAGACTGCTCCACCATCAGGCCCTGCACCATGTCCATGCAAGAGTCTAGGGAGAACTTCTTCCCCACCATGCGGATACCGCGGATGCGCCGGCGCATCTCTGTTAGTTCAGTGATGTGAGTGATTAGTGGTAAATTAGTTGATGATGGCTGATGGAAGTTCTTAACAATATCTATTTAGCAGGCAAATTGACTGATTACGAAAGTTACTAGGCTAACATAAAATCTAATAAAAGTAGATTTTTTAAATATATTAACATCACTTTTTGGCCATTCAAATGAAATTTGTACAGTCTATATTAAAATATTTAAAAAAATCATGCTAGATTAAAAAAAAATAAGAATTAAATTAATAAAAGTTGAACTTGTTAATAGTTACAAAAAAAAAAGTTTTTTTTTTTAATCTTAAAGAAATGTTAGTAGCTCTCATCTAATTTGAAGAAAATTTACTTTAAGAAAAGGAAATTTTTCCTCTCACATGTATATGTGCAATATTGTATGGGTGAATGAGTTTATCATACCAGGACTATCTTTTGGTTCCATTTTGAGCTGCGCAAACGTCTGCGCGCACGACGACAGCACCTGCTCATAGTCGCAAATGGCCACATGAGTTCCATTGACGATCTTGGGGCTCATGGGCGAATTGGCGAGGAGCAGACTTGTGCCAAATGTCGCGTTTAGCTCGCGAGTATCTTGAAGTGGAAAATCTTCTATTCTTACTTGTATTTGTGAACATGACACTTGTGAAGTTGAAGCAAGATTGACAAGCGACACATGTGTAGTGTTAGTAGGAAAATTCTTTAGCATTAAGATATCAAACATTAAAAAACATTTCGTGGTTAGACACTTTTTACTGCATCCTTTGGTGATCCTACTGATTTATTTTACGCCAATTGAGTGAGTTACCTTTCAATGTTATCCTAGGCTTCTTCGGAACAATGATGTTGCCATTTCCGGAACCAAAAATGTCCACAAGTATTTCAGACGCAACCGTCTTGATTTCGTTCCAGTCGTCTGAAAATAATTTTTGATATTGTCAATTACGATTATTCATAACGCAAGTTCTATTGTTTACAGCATTGTAAACACGCGGCCATAATTAAAAAAAACATAAACTCATGTTTATCATATCAGGAAATCTTTTTTTAATGCTAAAATGACTTGTTAGTATCAGTAAAATAGCAATTTACATCGTTAAAATGTGTTCAATTTTATTAAAATAAAAAATAAAATTAACATAAAAATATAAACATAAAAAACATAAATAATAACATAAAAAAAATAAAATAAAATTGTCAATAAATACACAAAGTTTTATTTTTTATGATAAGCATCAGGTTAATTTGATCCTTTGATCATTTATACGTTGCTGGATCATTTGACCATTTGTGATTTTTGACAAATGATCCAGCAACGTATAAATGAGACTGTCACCCAATTGCGACCGCGGCTGATGCAAAGCATCCGAAACGTTGGGCCGTAGTTAACATAGTTTTTAAATCGTTAAAGTGTCTTATTTCAATGTTTTCTACTCGCGTAAGCTACAGGCAGTATTTACACTTATACTATATTTAGCATATACCTAATGCACTAATGTGTCTCAAATGATCATACCCAATATAGTTTGATTTGTAGTCCGCTGTGACGTCACAGTGAATCTGATTACGTAGATTCCTTTAAAGCAAGCTGGAACAGCATGGATGTAGCCGCGACCGTTCAATCTCTTCAGCAGAAGCTCAGTCAGTGTGTTGTCGCCCTTTAGACGAAATGCTACCATGCCTAGTGAATAAGAAGACGTTAACAATAACACTCTCCAAGCTAGTCTTATATTGAATTTTTGAGCAAGTAATGTACCTAAGCTTCTTTAAGTATATGAAATGAAAATTGATGAAAAAAAATGCCTTTGAGAGGGACGCAACAGGTTGTAAAGAACATTGATAGTTGGATATATCAAGCCATATGACAATGAGTGCCAATCACAAGAATCACTTCATAAAATAATATACATATGTAAATGAAACACTTTTAACGGTTCAAAACGCGAAAATATATGAGGGACACTTTTTTCAGTCCCCCCGACACCACAGCTGCTGTAGAACATCCGATATGTCAGGGGGTAGTTCAAATAAATTGTAACTAAGTTCACTAATATTATTCGGGTTTTCAGTTAATGTACTAATGTGTAATTAGGTATTTACCTAAATTCCTCGTCTGCGGTACTTCAAATCGTTGATCTGCCAAAACTAGTGCTTCGAACTTCTGTGCGAGACGCACGCTCTGAAATTAAAACACAGTTACGTAACGCGGTACAAATCCTTAGTGAATTTATAAGTAAGACTTTTGGCCTAAGTTTAGGTAAGTTAAATGCAAAATGGGTTTCGATGCTCACGAAACTCAGGGAAAACTGCCCGGCACCCCGCAAGAGGACAGAGGAGGATCAACAAACATGGGATTAACATGAAGGAAGGCGAAATACCACATCCATTGGGTTTTGCGAAATTCGAAATACCTACATACAGCATTTCGACCGATTGTAGGTTTGATCTAGAATCTAGATAGTAAAATAGATGGTAGAAATATCGAAATTCCATCCGGGTCACGAGCGGCCATCGATAGATGAAATAGCAGTCTGTGGATTTCCGAATATCCAAAGCCAAAAAAGGTCATTAGCGTATCTTGTTTATAGGTTATTTTGCTGGAGTGCGTTTTCAGTTAAGGTATCATGCTTGTCTGTTCTCCTCTATTGTAAAACCAAAGGATGAAAAGAAGAACATTTTCTGTCTTACTGCTTGAAATGAGAAATCGTCTTTAGACTATGAACAAGAAAAAAACTTATTTAAATACCTCACGAATATGTTTCTGTAATCCAATGACTCCATAGTTGCGCAACACGAACCACAGTTTCAAAGCTCTGAAGCGACGACTCAGCGGTATTTGCCAGTGCTGGAAGTGACCATTATATGTCATTAAATACAACTGTTCGGACGCTGACGACTCTGAGACGCGTATTTCGAGTAATAAGCCGGTTAGTATTTTATTTTAATGAAAAAAAGAAATAATAAACAGATACAATATTTTATTTAATTTACATACTTTCGTGTATATAATTTTTTGGTGTTTTGTAGGGAAAAAATTTAAGGGGGGGAAAAGGCAAAAGGGGAAAAAAAAAAAAGGGGGGGGGGGGGGGGGGGGGGGGGGGGGGGGGGGGGGGGGGGGGGGGGGGGGGGGGAAAAAAAAAAGGGGGAGAAAAAAAGCATATTTTGTAGTGAATACTTTGCGGTATAATAATTGTGTGAGATAATTTGAATTAAAATGCACCCAAATTTCCGTCGCAAATCCAAACATTATTAAGTACACGTTTTATCACTGGCGTTATGCCCAGAACCACTCTGTTAACACACCATCACCGAACCCATCACCGATTTTTAAAAACACATACAAGCAACTCTTTTTTATTGGGATTCTCTATTTGTATCTGTTGTCCGCACCCAGACGCCATTTTGTTGTAACCGTGTAGGTTTTCATCATCAACATTTTCACCGGCATACAAATCACCATTGTCAAACTCATGAGATTTGATGATGCGACGTTTTGTGTTCGCCGTTTGCGTTCCGACCTAGTGGTTTGCACGAAATGATTATAACACAAAAACACACACACAAAACAATACCGACAATATATTGTAACTTACCATATAATCAATGGCTTTTCCTGTAAAAATAAAATTGATTAAAATGCTTATTTGTTTATGCTATTAAGTGTTAGTTAACGAGTATGTGTGTTATTACACAAAAAGTAATACATATATGAGGCTGCTAGAGGCAGAGTGGCCTAATAACAAAAACTTGATTTTCAATACGGAGAAAAATAAAACTGCGCAATGGCGCAGTTTTATTTTTCTTAAGTTAATGAACTTAGGCGACAATTAATTTGTACTATTATTTGTGTAAGGATTATGTTAACACCTTTTGGTCACTTTGATCTTGGAGATTAACATTTTTAGACTATAAAAACATAAAGCAAGTCATAAAATTGCAATTAGGGTACTCTGCGTCTAGCGGCCTTAAATACATATGTGTGATTTTCATGTTCATGACGTACCAACTGAAATATTATAAGTAAATACCTGAATTTTCATGTCTCAAATAAATAGGGTTGACATTGAAAGTCCTGTGAAGTGCTGTGCTGTCTTTGACCCTGAAAAACATATGAATTAAAGAGAAATTGAATAAGACCATATTACTTAAGAATTAGGTGGAGTTCAGAAAAACCGTAACTCAACATAGTCTATAGCAATATTTTTAGCTGAGCACATAGGTATGCAAATTTAATGTTAAATAAAAATTCTTATCTCATAATATACCGCCTCTGTACCTAAATGGTAAACGGTTTGCCTCGCGTTAAGTGCGAGAAGTCCTGGATTCGATGCCTGGGGAAGCAATAGATTATTTTGGCCAGGCAGGGCACGGAATTCTGACCAATTTGCCTGTAAAGTAACCGATCGGTGAAACGGACACAGCAATGTCGAAAATTATTTGTATGTATTCGTACTTGAAATGTTTTCGCCACATGCCCCTCAAGGGTAACGAGTCAGCTTATTCAGGAAAGGCGACAGGAACTCGCTTTGGAATACTTTAACCTGTAAAAAGGTAGAAATAGGAAATCAAAAATGTCCTTACCACATGGCAGTGCAGTCGAAGTTGACCATCAGCCATTTGGATGGATTGAACGCGAAGGAATCAGCTAGTTCTATACCATCCAGCCAGTGACTGTAAATAACAATAATGTATGCGACTAATGTATAAAAATTTCATTGAGTTGTTCATTGAAAGGTTTGTCCTCGTTAAATTAGATAAAAATTACATTACATTGCTAGTTGTAAGCCGTTAAAGGTATTAATTCAAAGGTGTCACTACTAGTAAGGTACTAGTATTTTCGGCGATATATAAAAGTAAGTTCTAGTAAAATTTTGCAAATCTTGCATGAGGATATTAACTATTTTTCTAAAATTGTTTGTTCTATCTCAGATAGAGGTACTTATATTAAGAGTTAAGGTTACGGTCAAGTCAAATTACCGTGGGAGCGTAATAATTATAATTTCCTTTTAAAACGTTAATATTTTTATCTACAATAAGATAATGGCGTTATATAAATTATAAATTTATTTAGATTGATAAAAATTGACGCAGTCAATGGGTTGAAGAAATTTTAAAGAATAAGATTGACTAATTCTAAACGGTAGCATAATTGGTTAGAGCAATAGAACGGAGCTTTGTGGATGCGAGTTCAAGACCTGGCCGTGTCGTAATATTTTTTTTAATTTTCAACTTATTTCCTATCACCAAAAATACTATAGGTTAAAGTAGTAAAACTGATGATGTTTAAAAAAAACACTTAACGTTTTAAAACGCGATATAAATTGCTGAGCCATAGAGAATGTATTACTCGGTAATTCAATTCGTTGAGCAACAGCACGGAACGGATGCGCGTTCAAGTCCTGCCCGAGTCGTTTTTTCTCTTTTAATTTATAATTAATTTGTAGGTATAGTGCCATCGTGTGCAACATGTGAGAAATAGTTAAAGTTTTTCAATAAGAAATATAATTCTAAGCCTTTATAAATTGGTATACTTACCGATATTCCGGGCATATGAAAGCGCTGCCCGCATACGCGGCGTCGACATGCAACCATGCGGAGTGCTTTTCGCACACTTCACCGATTTCGCGCAAATTGTCGAACGCCACTGATCCCGTCGTGCCAAGAGTTGCGCACACCTGGAATAGGATATTCGGTTGAAGAAGCCTGGAGTGCCTTGGACTGTCCGAATCACTACATGGGTCTGTACTAGGTTTTTTAGAATCTCCAAAGTTATTCCGCGTTAAGTTTATTGTGAAAATATTATGCAAACTTTTCAAACGACTGTTTTATTTAAATCGCTTTTTTTTAATTTAATAATAGCCTAGTGACAAGTACTCGTACAATTCAAATATACTAGTTGATGCGACAAACGTGGTGTTGTTAACAAGATATTATTATGATGCTACAACTCTAAAACATAAATGCAAATAATGCATTAATTACGACCAAATTTTATTACATAAAAACGGTTCTTGCGAGTTGATCTTAAAAGATAGACATATACTGTCGCGGACATTCAATTAGATCATTAATTAAAAAGGAAGCATTCTTGTATACACATTTCTTTTAGTTTCTTGAACCGCGTTCGCAGTTTATAATATTAGTATGAATTTACTTAGTGTCAATATTTAAAATTATCGTACGGTCTATTATACGGATGAATGTCACATTTTAAACCAATTATTGACATCCACGACATAAGATTGCAATTTTCTTAGCTCGCGAGTGAAATTTAATTATTATAGATGAGAACACGTTAACTTAGTCTTACAACACATTAAATATACAAAAATAATCGATTCTAACAAACATTTTAAGTCATATAGTCTAAGGGACTATATAAAAGTGTTGTGGAGGTTCAAAATAAATATAGAGGTTTAAATCTAGTTCTAATGTTTATCTAATATATACAATTTTCGTGTCACAGTGTTAGTTGCCACCGAAACGGTTTGACTGATTTTTTAAATATTTATATGCATTCAGGTGGAACCATAACATTAATTTTACTTCTTTGGACATTTTTTTTTATTGTGTGGCATTACGAAATACATACAACCCAAATTTTTTTGCCTTCTACCACCAATCCCTATTTTTAGTAATGCTTTTAAATTTTAGTATTTAAATCATTCTTAATATCGCTCGATAACTGATCACTTATACCTAGATAAGTTATTCCTCAGGCGTCTATCGGTGTCACTTCTCGCCCAGTAAACATCACAGAGTAGGAATGAGAAGTTCTCTAAAAATATTCTTTATGACAAAACAAAGTTGCCGGTTCAGCTATTTTATTACCAATTATTGTTAACCGGTGAACTCTATATTCAGCTTAGTAAAAATGCTAAAATATCTCGCTTTTAGCGCGCTCTCTTTTACACAAGAATTACTATTAATTAATATGGAAAAATAAACTTTGTAAAATGATCTCAGTGAGACCGCATCTGCGCCATTTCAATATTGTCCCCGAGAGCGTTATTAGCGGACTTAAGACTTCATTGTTAAACAGCGATTTGCTCTGGGACCAATTTGTTTGACGTAATACAAAATGGCGGCCGTGACGTCACTCTTCTTAGAGCTTATGAATGCTTCGGATAAATAATTAATGCGAGTTATTAAGAAATACTTTGCATTACACTTATAAATACAAATCGTATAATATATTTTAATAAGGGTTAGGTAATATATTTTTGTGTTGCTTATAGCAGTATTGAAACAACCTAAAGATGACACAAACAAAGATAGTATCAATATTTATTATAGTTAAAAATATTTCTATAGGGTTTGACCTGTCATCGAATGTTTTCAATCTGAAATAATCTTCCATATTCATGTCTCATTTTAAATATGACAAGAGTCGACGAGTTAGTATGTAGTTTCTCGCTTACCCAAAAAGGTACAAGTCCCTTCGCTTTATCAGTGATGATGGCTTCTTCGAGCTGTGCCCCTCGCATGCATTGTTTTTCATCCGACTCTATGTAACGCATCCGGACCAATCCTGATAAAAAAAAATTGCCCACAGGTGTAGGACACGGTAGTTGTATTTTGTTAGAAAAATCTGTGGATGCTGGTTCAAGTCTTGCCCGTGTCTTTTTTTTAAATTTAAGTCATATTAAATTTTATAAATGTTTTCTATAACAGTTGACCTAGTCACAAAACAGAAATAAACAAAATATACGAAGTCTTACGTTTCAGTTTACGCGAGTAGCACTCATTTAAATAAAGGACTTTTAACGGTTTAAAACTCGCAATGTATTAATTTTGACAACCTCAAAATTATCGTTCTCATAATCGTCTCTTGGTAACTGTTGAAACGTCAGGCCGTGGTTAAAATAATTTCCAAATAAGCTTAACTAAAATATATCGCGTTTTAAACCATTAAAATGATTCACCTAAAATAACCTATGCTTACCAATGAGGCCAGCCTTCTCCACAGAAGAGTGAGCCTGGTCTGAGCAGTAGCAGATCAGGTGGCCCAATAACTCCGAAGACTGCAGTTCGGGGTTGAGTTTCGCCAGCTCAATGAGGGCTTTTGTGCGTGCAGCGAGGAGACTCACGAGCGTTGCTTCACTCGCTGTTGTCTGGTAACATAAGGGAAGTTTTAAGTATATTCTATATTCAACTAAACGGCTGTTCATTCAAAATATAGATTTCTTAAAAATGATGCAAATTTGAGCATTATTTTCACTAACTCCTTTAAGATACATCGAACTTGCTGTACTGCATAAGTAAACCCATGTCTGTCGTTTAGACAATATATTAATGTAAAATTATATGTTGTGTAATTAAAAAATGGAACAAGCATGTATTCCGAAAGATGGCGACCAAAGAGGTAACTTATCGAAGCCTGCTTAAAAATATTTGCCGCGTAAAAAACTATAGTTATTAGTTCATTAACTTTTTAAAGTTAACTACTTAGTTTTTTTAAACCCCTCTTTTATATCTTAACTATGAAATATACAATATAATATATCATCTATCTATAATATAACATATATTCCTTTTACTTGAATAACTCCACCTCCAGGACTATCATTCTTCTCATTGAGAAAACACTCGGGGAGACCCAGCAGTTTCCCAAGCCAGTTCATGGCTATCGTTTCCAGCTCAGTGCCGGCAGGGGATGACGCCTGCATAAAAAGGGGGAAATGATATGGATTCTATAAGAGTAAAGGGTAAATCATTTGGGTGTCCGTTTCTTTTCAACAAATAATATATGATTTATATTATTTTGACCACCTCTATAGTAAAACAGTTACATGGCAGGCGACACCTAGCATTGCGTTAAGGGTGAGAGGTCCTACGTTCGAATCCCGGGGTAACAATAGACTGCGGTCCTTGCATGTAAATAAAACCAACCACACAATAAACACAGAAATGTGTTCACCTCATACCGCTTGGGGGGAAACGGGATTTTTACTTTATATGATTTTTAGAAAACAGTAGGCAGTAGTAATAATCAAGTAATTCAAGCAGACACCAAAACTTCCTACATACTAGAGAACTCCAACATTTACAACAGAACTCACCCATGTGAAGCAAAGAACGTTGAGAGCACTGGAAAGCATCTCCCCCATAATGGAGGGGTAGGAGGTCAGAGCTGGAAAGTACGCGTGCATATGTGGACTCTGCCAGTGGACAATCTAGGAGAAACATTCTTTGTTTCATAGATCGAAATGTAATCTTAATTATCAACACTTTTAAAAGTCAAGTGGCCGATAGCACATCCTGTTTAGATGATATATGGCTGGGGTGTTTCCCCTTCCATCAAGTGAACTCCAAGCCTGTATTAAATTTGACCACCTCTGTCATAACAGCATGCAAAATTAAATTAAACACTTTTTAACAAAACGCGTAGTTTAATTTTTTTTTTTTAAATATCCCAAACGTCGAGCTGTAGTTCGACGACGTTGTGACGCTGTGATCGATGTCGCGTATGCTTTGCAGCTGTTGTGATCACGGGGGGACAACTACAACTTATCGTGTATAATAGTTGTTCAACTACCCACCCCTGGCATAATGTGCTCCTGAACATCTTGGAAGATTTCATCCCATTTCTCAGGTAAATGGGGGGCTTCTGTCGGCAACCTCTTGTGAAGGTAGCCAGGTTGGACCTCGGGGTACACTCGGAACTCGCCTACGTTCTCCAGATAATCAGCTATGAAATCCACCAGCTCCTTGGCTGCAAATAAAACTCTTTACTACATGTCAATATAATGCGAAATTAATATATATATTTTTTAATCGTAATGTTTCTACCAACGCCATTATTCAATAAGAAGCTGATGTACTTTAATTACAAGAAATACTAGGTTCGAATCCAATGCAATAAAATTGAATTTATTGCAGCATTGCGTAGCACAAGATCGGCAGAAAAGGACATTTCTTTGGAGGAGACTCATACTGAAATTGGGGTTCCTCGGGGTTTGAACTTTAATTACGAATATAATCTAATATTACTAATCAAATTTATGTCTTTTGTTATATTGTTGCCACCAATTACTGTGAAATTAAAAATTTAAAGGATTATTATATTGGGGCTAGAAATGAATATGACCAAAACAAAGATAATGACAAACACATTAAAGACTGAAGAGATAGCCAAAGCCTAGAACATATATATACCTCGGACACCTTATATCATTCAAAAACTGCACCGACTAAGAAATTGATCGATGAATAAAACTTAAAAGGAAATATTTAAAAGTAAATTGCCCCCCTAATTAAAGCAAAAGCAATGGAAGTGACGCTGATGCCTTGTTTTTCCTACGCTTGTCAAACTTGGACCACGACAAAAAGAAACTTACTCAAACTCAGGACTTGTCAACGAGGAATTGAACGCAGCTTTATGGGAGTCAAACTAAAAGATCGAGTAAAACACAACATAATAAGAAAGGCGACAAAGGCCAAAGACATCAAGATGACTTCCATAAAGCTGAAGTGGGCATGGACTGGGCACCTGCAACGAGTAAAGGACAACCGATTGTCCCAGGTTATAAGATGGACTCCATTAAGCGTAAAAAGGAAACAAGGTAGACCTTTCAAGAGGTGACATGACGAATATAAGAAAACTGCATGCATGTTCTGGGAACGAAGCGCTACATACACAACAGAGTGGAAGCGTATGGAGGAGGCTTTTACCGCAAAATGCGGACCTAATATAAACAGCATTTGTCAAATATGAATAAACTGTTAACGCAACGTAAAACATGTAAAATATGTTTGGTAATATAAAGCTTTTTTTTTATTGTTGTGTCATAACAATAAAAATAAATAAATAATAAATTGTTATTTCAGTACTATTATATTGGGGCATCAGTACTTGAAAATAAGAACCATAATAAAACGGACATAAAATAATATCTGTTTAGATACTAATCTCTTTTATGTAACAACGGAAAGAAGTTACTCCTAATTACGCGTACAAGAGCTAGACAAAGACGTAATTGAACATCACATGTGTGAAGGCAAAAAAAGCGATTAAAGGCGATACCAATTAAAATGCTAAATTCTTAGATGTTACCAATAGCCTATATTGTGGAGAAATAGTCTTTCATATAAGTATGTTGAGGGAACATATGAAAAAAAACAAATGTATATTAATAATGAATTATCTGTGTTATTAAAAGCATCGTTTCTTCACAATATGTCGAAAAATATACGAACTTCTTTATATGATATCTTGACCTATTGGAATTATTTAAATAAAACACCTTAAACGGATTAAACTCCAAAACATGTTTGTTAACTTAATAACAATTTAATTTAAGTATTTTCCAACGCATCGCTTTGCAGCAGTCGTGGTTACGGTGGGACCGAAAAAGGAGGGTGTCTCTAATGTAAAAATAGCTACGCCAGCGCCATTTGTTTAAACGTAGTAGAGCAAAATGTACTTAAAAGTGTTATATTTAAAATTACACTATGCGTACAAACTACAGACAGTACTTATAGAAATTATTATTGATATCGAGTTATAATAAAATGCAAGGAAACCGTTGGATATTCTAAGCCTACTTGTTATTCAATAATAATCTCAGCAAATTATGCGTATAACCTAATAATACACTAATAAAACTGGGTTATTGTAGATCTGTCAATGTCATCATTAATTGTATATTGCTTACGATAATTCGCGGTCAATCTATATTTTTTTTTCCTAGTATATAAAAGTACTCACTTGCTTAATAATTAAACGCGTTGCCAAGCCAGGGCCTGGGTTCAATGTCCAGAAACAAGAAATTATTTCGGTCGAGCTGGATAAAAGGCTACTTGCCCGTAAATATAAACGGTCAGAGTAACAGAAGTTCGAATCGCGAAAAAACAAAAAATCTGACACATGCAAATAAAATCGGTTAGTAAAATGGGCACAGACATGAGTGAATCTTAAAAAGGGGGGGGGGAATAGAAATACAGTAAATTTAAACGTATCTGATTTTTTTAAACTTGGTAGCAGTTTTTTCAATGAATGCATTTCGTGTTTGTCTTGACTGTGTAATCAATTTATATCTTTAATTTTAACTGTGGAACTATAAACGAAGAACATTCTACATTTTATTGTTGTAGTGTTTCACATCTCTCTATATTCTGACAATTAGTTTTCACATGATTTGCTGCATCTGATGATACAGCAAATTTCCCCTCAATTACTTAAAAATCACAAAATCAATCAAAAATTCGACAGCGATTGATAACAAATACTTGTTATTGGTTTGGCTAAGCATTCTATTGGATTCGCCAAAGCAAACGACAGCCCGATAAATGCAATAATGTAAACACCCTGTATCAATAAGCCTAAGTCTAAACGTATTTCGCCATAAAATAGATCCCGGATCGAAGTTATTGAGGCATTTATTGTATTACTGTATGTTGATTCAACTTTATTAGTGTACAGGGTGTTTGCAAAGAATGAATGTGAAGAAAAGCGTTTTGAAACGACACACGGAACATCCACGGAGTTATTGTTGACGGAAAATTAATTTTAGCTTTGAATTTCCGTGAAACATTATAGTTAGTAGTTTTTTATTTAGAAGCAAATTACGATAAACACGACTTTTATCGTAAATAACATAAGTTTCAATTAGCTAAATTGCGCTTAATTAATATTATTATCTATTTTTGACGTTTTTCTAGAATACATAGGTTATATTTAGAAACGAATCTTTCATTACATAACTAAACAGTAATTACATACCTTTCACCCTAAACTCGCCGTGATCCATTTTACTTCAGCGCCTGAAACAAACAAAAAATAAATTAGACTTCGAAAAAAAACGAAAAATTTTACGACTCGAGCAGGAAGGGGACCTGGTGGCTCATTTGGCTAGAGCAACAGAACGGAACGCTGATGATGCCGGTTCATGACCTGCCCGAGTCGTATTTTTTCGAATTTATCGATTTTGAATTCATATAGTGCCATCGTGTGCAATAACATGTGAAAAATATTAAAGTTTTCAAACGCGCGATGAAAATAAAAAGCCAAGACAAAATCATTTATTCATGTAAGTAACTATGTACACTTATGAACGTCACAAAATAATTAAAGAATCTAACTTTACATTTACAAACCTATTGTTTACCAACCAACCATTGATACCATGAGACCAGCGAGCTCATGAAAACCACCAATTAAGCACACAGACGTGAAATTTCAAGAGTAGGCAACCTGATCATGACATGGTCTAATTCGTCACTCGTAAATCGATACGTCGACACTTGACAGGCTTCCCTGTCAGTTGTTATTTGTTATACTCCTTATGTAAGTGAAGGTTACCAAAAATTCAACACAACACAGGGGACCGGGGCCGGTGGGTCAAAAGAAAACTGGGCATGATAGTTTCCTTTTGAGAGCCGAGTGTAGCCACTTCGTTATGTTACTCGTTACAGCGCTAGTCGGTATCGCTTTTAATGCTAAATAATTCCACTAAGCTCAATTGGTTAGAGCAGTAAGAAACGCGGTGGACGCCGGTTCGAGTCCCGACCGTGTAATTGTTTTATTTCAATTTAAATAGATTTTTAATTTGAATATTTTCATCGTGTGTAATAACATGTCAAACATATTTAAAAAAAATTAAATAATAATAAAAACAGCTTAAACAATATCGACTAAATAAAAAAATATTTAGTGAAATTATATCTAAGGTCATCTTTAGACTTTGTATAATCTGCGGAAACGTGCAGCTCATAGACTTATCCAATGCCAAAATAGGTCGACATCGCACAATATTAAATTTATAGACAACCCCATGCTTCCCTGTTTTTTCATAAACAATACTTTAATGTGAACTATATAATAATTATAGTATTAGCTAACACAGGTAAAAATTTACTTAATTAGTTTAAAAATAAAACACATACTTTCATCTCTGAAACGATCCGGCCTCGGTGGCACAAAAGGTTATTTCAAAGAAACCCGACATTGTATGAAACGGCTTTTATAAATAGTTGAAATTGAAGTGACGATGTATCACACTCCGTCAAAGTATTTGCTTTCTTTATCGATTGTATAGGCTTCTGTATTTGTTTAAGATTTATTTCCCAGGAATAAAGGACAATAGATATCCCATTTTTTAATCTCCTTCGGGAAGGACTAATGAGTTGGCAAGGACAGAAAGATTACATCTACCAAGTTCCAGGGTTACTTAAAGTTAGTTATTTAAGATATTTTAACAAAGAATATTAGTACACTACTCAAGTCTCAAGTTTGAGCAACAGCATGAAACGCTGACGATGTCGGTTCAAATCCTGCCCGAGTCGTAAAAATTTTATTTTGTATTAAAATGTGAAATAAATTAGTTTAATTTTAGTACGCCCCCCGTGTTTTGACTACCGCGAAGCGTGCGAAACATGGAAATGACCCTGTCAAAGTAGAAACAGACGTCGTTAAAAGAACTTGTCAATAAGTTAACTATAATAGTTCGCACTTTAAACCGTCAAGTGTTTTATTCTAATGTGTACAAACTGTGTACGCTTAACTCAACCGAATCTATAGTGTTTATAGTGAAATAAATAAATAAAATGTTTTTCTAGCAACAAACTACATCAAGATTATAATAAAATGCTATACGCATAGTGTGACAATTGCTTAATTAAGCATATGTTAGGAATATAACAGATAAATAAGATCTATTGTAGCTTGGACATTTGGATATCCACAGACTGCAATTCGTTATTCATACCACTTTTCATGTCCATTAAATATCCAGAGAAAATCTAACATGTTTCATGATTTGAAAATTGTAATATTTCCACATGTATATTGGAAATGATGGCGTTATATAAATAAAAGTCTATTTATATTGTAAAAAAAATAAACACTGGCGGGACTCGAACCGAAAAACGGTGGCCCATTTTGTTAAAGCAACAGCGCGGGTTCAAGTGCCGCAGCTATCGTACATTTTAAATCCAAATGTATTTTTTATTTATTTTTCCAGATTTAAAAAAATATAATTTCTTAAACCAATATAACAATGCGCTTTTATGTTAATGTTTCTTATAAATAAAAAAAATATAACGTAGTAGTGGGCCTGGAGGTGATAAGAAATTATAATTAGTCAAAATGTCTCGACGGGCTCTCTGGCCTAATGATAGTAACGTGTGAATAATTATCGGGTCGTACGTTCGATTCCCTCGGGTTCAATTAGTTTTTTAATCAATTTATATTTCTTTATTTAATTATACTTCTGAAACATGTCGACTTGATTGAAACGACAGGGTCACAAACCATCATCCAGAGATGAAAAAGTAAAGTTTAATCGCAATTTGCTTTCAGTCTGTGAAATTCGAATACCTAAAGCCAAAATAGATCAACAGCACATCTTGTGAGATGTAATGTCCATCGAGTGATTCCGGAACTTGTCTGTCTTCTATTATACGGAAAAATATTGTATTAAAATGATTGGAAATACAATTATCCTGCCTTGGCTAGGGCCACTATACCTTCTACAGCAGGTGCATTATGTAAGGTGACATAATAATATTATAATTTCACTAGCTGTTACCCACAACGTCGTCCGCGTCTCGTTCGTGCAAATTAATGATAAAATATAGATATACAGAGTCACCGATTCTTTAAAGATCATGTTTCTTGCCTCGTATTGATCGCAACGCAATGTTTTATAACCTAAATCCTTCCTCGATGAATGCTGTATTCAACACAAAAATAATGTTACAATTCGAACCTGGTAAAAGTGTAATTCTATACTAACATAAGGAAGCTAAGGAGGAGCTGAGGGTGAGTTTGTTTGTTTGTTTAAAGGCACAAATCTCAGTAACTACTAGTTTGGAGATTTAGTCTCCCCGTGGCCACGGCTGCTGCAAAGCATCCGAAACGTCGGGCCGAAGTTAAAAATCATTTTCAAATAAGTTTAACTAATATATCGCGTATTAAACCGTTAAAGTGTTTTATTTAAATACTGGTTTGGATTGAAAAAATATTTTTGTGTTCGATGGACCACTTGTCGAAGCAAAGTTTTATATAATAAACAGAGGGAGGTATTTGAAAATCGGGGAAAACGTTCCTTTGAGGCCTGTCGTGCTTGCGCTGCAAAAATGGTTCATGAAACCAAAAAATATGTACGAAAGAATTATTATTTTTTGAATAATCTAAAAAAACGTTCGGGACAAGATATATCTAAATATAAGATTAATTCGCAAAAACAACGGGGCGCAGACGACGTCGTAGGTAACACCTGTAATGTATAAAATTAAGGAGGTAGTTTACAAAACTAAATGTTGATGCCTAAAATAACTATTCCACGTGAAAGAAGTCGCAGGCATATCTAGTGAAGATATACTGAATTGCAGCTCTAGCTTTACATAAGTATATATTATTGTATTATTCTATTATATTAGGTAAATAGATATAAGAGTGGTCGATTAAATTAATAACAACACAATTCCTTATTCAAATTGTATAGAATAGTCAATCTTGCATTTTAATAAAGTTTATATTTCGAAATAACTTAAAACATAAGTTAGTTAATACATAGTACATAGACATACAGTGTTTTGTTTTCGGCTCAAGTGAACAAGTATACTTAAAAAAAATGCTGCGTTCAGTTTTGTAACATTGTGAAATGTAATGTAGAATAAAATATTCATCTTAAATAAAACTTTTTTTTATTAATATTTAAAAAAAGTCATTCTTAATGAAACTTATATTATCGCGTAAACTATAGGCAGTATTTATATTCTTGGTCATTATTATTTAGTTGTTGGTAAAAAAATTGTCATATGAGGTAATATAATTTTTATAATGACAAAATATGTACTTGATCTCTAGTTTACTTTTATTAAAATTAGTATATTATACTTCAGAATATAATTATGTTTCAATTTTTCACTTTTTTATTAAACCGTGAGTACTTTTTCTTATTAATTACACAATCAAGAATTTAATTATAGTACGTCAAATTAAATAAAACTATGTTGTAATTGAATATTGGACAAAAAAAAACAGGATGTTATAAATTCATTTGTTCCAAAAAAAAAACACTGATTAGGAACTTTAAAAAATCCGTACATATGAAAAATATTTAAAAATGTACTCACTGAATCGAACACGACACTCGAGTTTAAACAAAAATTAATTTAAATTGAATATTGTATGAGAGGACGTCTGTAACTGTTCAGTGGATGCACGAAGTAAGGCTTATATAGGGGTGGCTCTACGCGACAATTGTATCTACTCGTTGACAGATAGATTCGGGCCGGGCAGCGCCACGAGCGACGCGGGAGCGATTTACACCTTAGATGTACCATGTGAATAAACCGAGAAAAAATATATATTCGGCGACAAAAGTTTGCTTGTTTATTCATTTGAAAACCAATTTCTCTTGTAGTTTTTTATTTTGTGGTATATATTATAAATAATAACGCTGTATAAAAAAAATAAGGTTGACTTTTAATACCTGATGTAACGTAAGTATCATGAAAATGTATATGCACTAATTAGTGTCAGCTGTTCAGTGTCTACTGCTGGACGTAGGCCACCTAGACTACGACCGGTCGTTCGCTAGTCGACTCCAGCGTTTGCCTGCTGCCTTCACCAGGTCGTATATGTACTTAGTATATATAAATTAAGTTCTTTAGAATAACAGATGCAGAACTGTTGAGTTTTCGTAAATGTTTCTATTATTTCCTTACGTTTATTTATGGTACAAAAGGTGAAACTTTAAATAATTTATTATAAAGCGAGATTCAGCGGATCTGGCAGCTGAAG